TACTTTGGGGGGGGGGGAGGGGGGGGGTTTTTTTTTTGCGGGGGGGGGGGGGCCTAGGGTGATGGGGACTTGTATCCACTGCCGCTCTCGGCCAGGGGAAGAGGGGAACTACGGACCCCACCTCCTAGTTCCAGGGCGTTATGACCCCTGGTCGACCCCAGGGGAAACTGAGGCCCACGGAGATTGAGCGACTTGCCCAAGGACATCACGCAGCTGGTGAGAGGAGCTGCACGCTCCAAACTCCAGGAGGAAGGGCGGGTGGCGAGGGAGGAGGAGGCCCAGCTGGTGCGGACTGGTGTAGGCAGGGTGGGGTGGCGGGGGGAGAAGGGCTGCTGGCCAGAAGGTTCGGTCACAGACTTTGCCCGCTGCCTGCATCACCCTCCCTCCCTCCCAGCTCTCCTCCTTCCCCCCTGGCCTGGCTCCTCAGGAGGGACTCTCTGGGCAGCTGGCGCTTCTCTTGGCTGCCGCCTGCCAGCTGGTGCCTTAACTGATGAATCTTTGCTCCCTCCCCGGGGACCGGCCAGAGAGGGCGCGGAAGGAGGTTCGGACTCGGGCTTCCGAGAGCTCGGGTCCCTCCGGCCCGGCAGAGCCACCTCCCCACGTCTCCAGTGCCACAGCCCAGGGTTTCGGGGGTCAATGGACGGACAACCCCCCCCCCCCAGCTAGAAGTCAGGAGGGCTCGCTCCCCACACCTGCTCCCCCACGGACTGACCTTGAGAGGACACTTGGTCCCCTCCCTGGGTGATTCCCGAGAACCATCATCATGGCCAGGCCCCCACCCCGCACACCCCCTCCTCACAGCACGGAGACGGACTGGGAAACTGAGGCTCCGAGAAGTGAGGGGTTTGCCCAAGGCCACGCAGCTGGCAGCGTCGGCCGTGTCTGGCTCTTTGCACGCCACCCTCACGGCTTCGATTTATCACCTGTGAAGCAGGGGTGGCCTGGTAACAGCTAGCGTGTGGGGCTGGCGGGAGCCTTCGGGGAGGTGAGGCAGGTAACACGGATGCAGGCTCCGAGATGATGGATGGGCCTGCTGGTCCTTGACCTGGCTCTGCCCCTTATGGACTCGGTTCTCCATCCTGAAGCAGATGGAGGCAAACACCCTCAGTCAGGGCCGCCGCCGCTCCGGACAGAAAGGGGGACTCACTGTCATCGTCATGATTGTTGTCATTATTATTCAGAGAAGGCAAGACAAAGGCTCGAAGAGGAGGAACAGAGGCTGAGAGTTCAGGGGTCCATCCGTTGCCTCCCTGGTCCCCACTCTGAAGGTCAGGGCAAGAGCACAGAAGAAAGGCCCAAGGTCATTCCCTTTCTCACACACATTGGCTGAGGTGCATTCTGGTGCTTGGTGCTCAGGATAGAAGGGTCCCCCGTGGACCTGCCCAGAAGGAGCTCAAATCGACTGACCTTGAGAGGACACTTGGTCCCCTCCCTGGGTGATTCCCGAGAACCATCATCATGGCCAGGCCCCCACCCCGCACACCCCCTCCTCACAGCACGGAGACGGACTGGGAAACTGAGGCTCCGAGAAGTGAGGGGTTTGCCCAAGGCCACGCAGCTGGCAGCGTCGGCCGTGTCTGGCTCTTTGCACGCCACCCTCACGGCTTCGATTTATCACCTGTGAAGCAGGGGTGGCCTGGTAACAGCTAGCGTGTGGGGCTGGCGGGAGCCTTCGGGGAGGTGAGGCAGGTAACACGGATGCAGGCTCCGAGATGATGGATGGGCCTGCTGGTCCCTGACCTGGCTCTGCCCCTTATGGACTCGGTTCTCCATCCTGAAGCAGATGGAGGCAAACACCCTCAGTCAGTGCCACCGCTCTGGACAGAAAGGGGGACTCACTGTCGTCGTCATGATTGTCGTTATTATTATTCAGAGAAGGCAAGACAAAGGCTCGAAGAGGAGGAACAGAGGCTGAGAGTTCAGGGGTCCATCCGTTGCCTCCCTGGTCCCCACTCTGAAGGTCAGGGCAAGAGCACAGAAGAAAGGCCCAAGGTCATTCCCTTTCTCACACACATTGGCTGAGGTGCATTCTGGTGCTTGGTGCTCAGGATAGAAGGGTCCCCCGTGGACCTGCCCAGAAGGAGCTCAAATCTAAACGGATTCCCCCTCCTGGCTGGTGTGGCTCAGTGGTCGAACGTCGACCTATGAACCAGGAGGTCCCCAGTTCGATTCCCAGTCAGGGCACATGCCGGGGTTGTGGGCTCCATCCCCAGTAGGGAGTGTGCAGGAGGCAGCTGGTCAGTGATTCTCATCATTGATGTTTCTCTCCCTCTCCCTTCCTCTCTGAAAACAATAAAAACATTTTTTTTTTAATGGATTCCCCTACCCCACCCTCCCCTGGCTCTGGTCCCAGCCAGCACTGCCACGTCAATCAGTCCCCAACTCCTGATTTAGGTCCTAAATATCACTGGATTCCTCAGAGCCCCAACCTCAGCTCAGTCCTCGGCACTCCGAGCCTGGGCCTTCCCACGGGTCTCTCTGATCTGTAGGCTTCTTGCCTCGCGCCCTCCAAACCATCACGACCCTGCGGATTTGCGCTAACTCCAGGCTCTGACCCTGGCCATCCTCTGCTCAGAACCTCTCCCTGCATGTAATCAAATCCAAGTAAGAAGTTTCACTTTCCACGGCTCCCAGTACCAGACCCCTCCTCCTGCTGTTCAACCTTTGAGCCTGGGCCCCCGCCCACTTTTCCGGCCTCCTCACACCGGCTCCTTCTTATGCAATTTCTCTCCAGTCCCTGAAGGGCCCCGCTCTGCAGCAGCTGGCCTGAGCACACACGGTTCGTCCCGCCTGGAATGCCCTTCCTCCTCTGTCTGCCTGGAGAAGTCCTCATTCTTTATGATGCAGTTCAGATCTCATTCTATTTCCCCCTGAACCCAGCCCCACGACTTCCGTCCCGGCTCACACCTTGACTCTCTCCCTGACCCCAGGCCCCAGGCACCTCCCAGCCTGCAATCTCTACTCTCACCCCCTCCAGTCCATCTCTACACGGCCCCAAAGGGGTCTTCATGCACCCGGAGCTGCCCCGGCCCCTCCGCTACCCAGCGCCCTGCTGTGGCTCCCTATTGCCCCCCTGGCAACGTCCCCATCCCCCCGCCTTTCCCAGCCTGCGTCACTCCTCACAGCCATCGCCTCATCCAGGCCGCCTTCCTGGATCGATTCCCCCCCCAACCCCATAGCGCCCACCCCATAGCGCCCTGGTTCCTTCCATATCCGGTGCGGACCTCCCCACGCTGCAGTGCGACTGGGACAAATAATTGGGACTTAGAGTTTTCACTGAGTGGCATTGAGAGGGACCTCTGCCCTCAGGCACCTGGTCCAGCTGGAGGCCGTAGAGCAGGGGGCTGAGGCAGACTCGGGCGCCGGACAGCTCGGTCCGAACCCAGCACGGCCCCCTGCTAACTGGGTGGCTTTGGGTGACTCAGTTCCATCACCTGAGAATCGGGGCTGTTGGAAGGACCCGCATCCGGGGTGGCTGTAAGGATGGCACAGGCTGGGGCGTGGGGAGCACTCCAGTGGCGCTTAATAAACACCTCGCAGAAGACGAGCGTGGACGCAGACCATTGTACTAAACAAACCAGAAAAAGAAAGGACATGTTCCTGTTTGCTAGGTTCCGGGTGCTCGTGACATTTCTCTCCATACTTGTCTGTATTTTGGGAATATCTCGTAAATTTATTTTAAAAACTGAATAGGGCCCTAATGGGTTTGGCTCGGTGGATAGAGCGTCGGCCTGCGGACTGAAGGGTCCCAGGTTCGATTCCAATCAAGGGCATGTGCCTTGTGATGTTTCTCTCTCATTGATGTTTCTAGCTCTCTGTCCCTCTCCCTTCCTCTCTGTAGAAAAATCAATAAAATCCATATTTTTTTAAAAAATAAATAAAAACAAATAAAAACTAAATAGGGATTAGCCAGGCTGGGTGGGAGGAGGGAGTTGCAGGCCGCGGGAAGAGCTGGAGGCAGAGAATCATCGCGCCGCCAACACTGAGCTGCTGCTGCGTCCAGGGCGGGCGCTGGGCGAAGCATTTGATGTTGGCACATGGGTTTGGTGGCAAGGTACCAGCTTGGGGTGATGGGAGGGGAGCAGGTGAGGCCAGGTGAGTGGGGGGAGCACAGACCAGGCTGGGCCTCACGGGCTGTGGCAAGGGCCCAGGGGGAGAGGAGGCCCCAGCTGGGAGGATGGGAAGGTGGTTGAGGCCCAACAGCAGGCACAGGGCGTGGAGGCTCTGAGGACTGGGCGCGAGGGAGGGGCCAGAACTGCCCCCGGTGGATGGCAGGGTCCGGCCTCCAGATGGGGAGCCCGGGGGGCACAGGAGGGTTGGGGGAGAGGCTGAGCGCCACTCAGGGCCCTGGGACCCACCCCCGCATCCACAGATCTTCGCCCTCATCGTCTTCTCCTCCCTGCTGACCGATGGCTACCAGAACAAGACGGACTCTTTGCAGCTCCGCTGTGTCCTCAACAGCAACAACGTGGCCTGCAGCTTCGCCGTGGGGGCCGGCTTCCTGGCCCTGCTCAGCTGCCTGGCCTTCCTGGCCCTGGACGCCCACGAGGGCCACATCGCCTGCACCCGCTTCCGGACGGCCTTCCAGCTCCTGGACTTCATCCTGGCCGGTGAGCCGGGGCCACTGCCCACAGCCCCCCGCCCGCCCCTGTCCAGCCGGCCACGTGGAAGTGGAACCCAAAGCGCTGTCCCTCCCTTCTCACGCTCATTGGCACCTGCAGTTCCCTCCCCTGGGAATTATTACTCTGTCCTTTAGACTCAACGTAAGGGTCAGTTCTTCTGATCCCCGGGCCAATTCTAGAAACCGCCCTCTCCTCCCTCCTCCCCTCCTCCCCTCCCCCTCCTCCTCCTCCTCCTCTGCTCGGGGCCAGTCCCAGCATCGCAGGGCTGGGAGGGCCCTCGGTGGGCACTGAGTCCATGCCCTCTGAGAGAACCTCCTGTGAGGGGGGGACGTTTGGTACCTGCGCTTCCCATACAGGAGCCGCCGGCTCTTGAAGTGGGACCCTGGGGCTGAATTTTTAAAAAATATGTTTTTATTGCCCTGACCAGTTTGGCTCAGTGGATAGAGCGTCGGCCTGCAGACTGAAGGGTCCCAGGTTTGATTCCGGTCAGGGGCATGTGCCTTGGTTGCGGGCACATCCCCAGTAGGAGGGATGCAGGGGGCAGCTGATTGATGTTTCTCTCTCATCGATGTTTCTAACTCTCTATCCCTCTCCCTTCCTCTCTGTAAAAAATCAATAAAATATATTTTTTTAAAATATGTTTTTATTGATTTCAGAGAAGAGGGGAGAGGGAGAGAGATAGAAACATCAATGATGAGAATCATTGATCAGCTGCCCCCTGCATGTCCCCTACTGGGGACCAAGCCCAAAACCTGGGCCTGTGCCCTTGACCTGGAATCGAACCTAGACCTCCTGGTTTGTGGGTCGATGCTCAAACCACTGAGCCACACTGGCCGGGCGGAGCTGAATTATTTTGAATTTTATTTGAATTGATTGAAATGTAAACAGCCACCTGTGGCCATGGGCAGTGCAGCTCCACTCCAGCAGCACATCTTACAGAGGCTGGAGGGAGAGGCCCTTTCCAGGTCCAGCAGCCCTTCCTGAACCTCTCCCCCCCGCCCTTTCTTCTCTCCTGCGCCCCCAGTCCTCTGGGCAGGCACCTGGTTCCTGGGTTTCTGCTTCCTGGCCAACCAGTGGCACCGTTCGCCGCCCAAACAGTTCCTCCTGGGGAACAGCAGCGCCAAGGCCTCCGTCGCCTTCGCTTTCTTCTCCGTCCCCATCTGGGTGAGGATGAGCCCCTCGCGGGCACCCTCTGCAGGGCAGGGTGGGAGGGCTGGACCATCCTCCCGCTCACGCAGCTCCCTGGGCCTCCCTGGCCCCTTCCCTGGCTCCCTGGCAAATCGGAGAGCAGACGCCCGCCTGCCTGAGGCCTTGTGTGGGTGGCTGCTGAGCTGGGTGACTAGTGAGCAGTGGGCACAGCCGCGCCCTGCATCTCCCTCCCAGGCCAGGCCCCGGCCCCGGCCCTCTTTCTCCGGCCCAGCCTTCAGCGCCCCTTCTCTGCCCACAGATATTCCAGGCCTACCTGGCCTTCCAGGACCTCCGCAATGACGCTCCGGTCCCCTACAAGCGCTCCCTGGATGAGGGGGGCGTGGTGCTGACCACCCTCTCCCCGCCCTCCGCCGCCAGCCCTATCAACACGCCCACCACTGGCCCCAACAGCATGAGTTACGCCAGCTCCGCCCTGTCCCCCTATCTGACCACGGCGAAGGTCCCCCGCCTCGTCATGATGCCCGACAACTAGACACCCTCATCACCTCAGTAAAGAGCTCACCCGCCCTGCAGAAGGGTTTCTGAAAACAGCCCTCTGTCCTTCTCATGTCTGTGCCTCGCTGGCTCCTGGAGCGGCCAGGGGTCGGGAGAAACCCAGCAGGGTCACCTCCGGGGTCACTCCGTGGGTCCCTACCACCTCCATCCGGGCCCCTCCACTGGGCACCACCGTTAGCTGCACATTAGAGGTGGGGACAGGAGAGGGATGTCGCTCCTCGCCTTAGCCATGGAGGGGGCAGTTGAGGAAGTTCACGTTCAGAGAGCGCGCTGAGAGTCAGGGTCAACAGTGGGACCAGCCCTGTTGGGACCCCAAAGCCCAAGCCCTTTCACTCCCTCCAGTGACAAGGGACCCAACTCAAAAGCCAGCTGCGGGAGGAGTCGGTAACGGAACAGGGGTGGTGAGTCTGTGACTGGGGTCAGGGAGGGGAGATCCTTATCTTCAAATATTTGGAGGATTGTTGGAGAAGACGGAGTGGTTTTATCGAGAATCCCAAGCTCACGGAGGACTCACACACCGGCCACAAAATGCTCCTGTATGTAGGACCAAAAAGGTAACCACAGTGGGTGAGGCAGCCAGTAAGTGCATAGTGGGGGGAGGGGCCATGTTGAGGGGAGCCCTCACTCAGCGCAGCACCGGCCCATTGAATATAATGGGAACCACAGGGTGTGGAATTTTTTTTTAAATATATTTTTAATGCTTTCAGAGAGAAAGGGAGAGGGAGAGATAGGAACATCAATGATGAGAGAGAATCATTGATCGGCTGCCTCCTGCACGCCCCCCACTGGGGATCGAGCCCCAAACCCAGGCAGGTGCCCTAGCCACCAATCGAACCGTGATCTCTTGGTTCACAGGTCGACACTCAACCCCTGAGCAACACCGGCCGGGCAGGGCATGGAATTTTAAATAGAAAAGTAGAACAAAACAAGTGAAGTGAATTTTCATATATTTTATTTAACCCAGTATATCCAAAATATTATTTCAACATGTCATCAGTATAAAAAATTCCCCGATATCTTACATTCTCTCATACCGAGCTTTCGAAATCCTTTGCGTATTTTACATCTCAGTTTGGACCCGCCCCATTTCAAGTGTCGCTGATCGCCACCACATTGGACCATGTAGCTAGAACCTTCCGGTCTTTCTAGAACAATCGGACACTATGCGAACTTTTTTCATGTCATGGCGTGGGGAGACGTGGAGAGGTGGCGTGGAGGGCAGGGAGGATTCGGGCTCTCGTCCTCACTGTGCGGCCAGCTGGATAAGCCGGGATGTCTCACTTAGCTTATCCGGGCCCGACCTGTGCTGGCTGCAACGCTAGGGACTGGGACCCGAGAGTGATGGCTTCCAGACCCCATGCATTCAAAGAGGCGCGGCTCCCAGCCCCAAACCCACCCTCGCAGCCCTGTCCCCGCTGCCCCTGTCACCTTATCTCCCAGGCTTCTGGGCAACATTCCTCTCAACAGGAGGCCCCTCGGCTTAAAAGGAAGAAAGACGTGAATAGCTGAAATACCCCACAGCAGTGAGTAAACACAGGCTCGGCGTGAGGAAGCCGGCACCGACCCGCCACTGCCACTCGCCCTCCAGGCCTCGGTTTCCTCCTCCAGTGCCCGGTTCAGGGGTGCTGAGGGCCCAGTGGGCTCCTCTGTGAAACCCACGTGGCCGGGCACTGGCAGAACGCTCAGGGCCGGCCGGAGCTTCCGGAGCCATCCTCCGGAGACCTGGGGCGGCGAGGGGTCCTAGCAGACGTCTAGGGAGTCTGAAGCCAGGGGCCCGACCCCCAGAGCTTCCGAGGGCCAGGCAGGGAAGGCCAAGGAAGGGGACAGGCCAGGTGCCCAGCCACTCTGGAGGGAGGCGTGGAAAACAGCCCCCTTTTAACTCCACAAACAAAACCAGAAAAGGACGCGTCAGGCCAATAATGAACAGCAAGGACCCTCAGCCAAGCCCTGGGACGGGGCGGGAAGGTCGTCCCCATCCATTCAGCCCAGCCATCTGCTGCCGCCCGAAGGGAGGACCAGGCATCGTCACTCTGACGGATTTCTTTCAAGAGAAGCCAGAAATTCCGATTTTCATGTGAAACTCTGCTTTTTAAAGACTGGCAACTGATCCCTTTTTTTTTTTGTAAGAAACAGAATGGTTCAATAAAATGCCAGATGAGGGTGGGTCGGGGCTGCCTGGTGGGTGGCCTCCCCAGGTCCCCTGTAACCCTGAGGTTCGGGGAACAGCCAGGGAAGCTCTGCGCTACGACAGGAGGAATCTTCGGGGGGTTTTTTCTCCGAAGCATCTTCCCCCGTGAGGACTTGTGGTACAGCTCAGAGTCTCAGGAAACCCAGTTTCTCGTCTCCCTGCTCCTCCCAGGCCTCGGCCGCCTGCAGACGGTCAACGGGGCAAAGCAGAAGCAGACGGGGCCTGGGGTGGGACCCCACAAACGCCAGAGAGAGGGCAAGGAGTAGCAAAAGAGAGGCATCATTTTCCTCGGTTTATTTCAAGAGAACAAAGAATCAACCATCCATTCTGTACAAAAAACATGGTGGCAGAGTCACGGTGACCCTGGAGCCAGCCCCCTAAATGCCCAAAAAACGAGGACCAGACTAAAAGCCCCAAACTCTGGGGGAAATTATGAAAAATCAGGGCGGACCATTCCTCCCCTCCGCCATTCCCCAGCCCAGAAGTTTGGGGGGCAGGCGCTGCGTCCTGGGTGGGAGGTGGGAGGTCGGGAAGGCCGTGTAGGGAGATTTAGTGTTTGGCAAACAGTGGGGCTGGGAGGAGGGTCTGGAAGGGAGCTAAGGGGCTTGGGAGAGAGAAAAGATCTCCCCCCTGCCCCCCCCCCCTCATACAGAATACTTGAAACGGTTTATAAAAATCAGGGCCAGAGAGTAGAAGAGAAAGGAGTCATCAGAATCAAAAACTAAATCGTGGAAAGATTTTTTTTTTTCTTCTCTAAAAGGCAAAAAACTACAAACAGCCCAGGTCCTGAGCTCCCCAAGTCTTGGGTCCTCCACCACCCCCTGGAACCCGGCAGGAGGAAAGTGGGGAGTGGGGAAAAGTTGGTTCTTAAAAAAGTCACCCCTGGACAGGAAGGCTCTTCGTCTCCCATCACCGTCCTCCGCTGCCAGGGAGAGGGAGGGCGAGGACCAGGGCTACGCCGGCAAACTCAGCTTCTTCCCCTTCAGAACTGCGAGGAGAGAGAGGGGGGCAGGCATCACCACGGGGCCGCTCGCAGGGACGGCCTCCCACACCCAGACCGGACGCTGGGCTGGACAGAGATGCCAGGAGGGTTGGCCAGGACCCTGGATTATAAACTGGGGAAAGGGGCCTGAATCCCTGCGGGGTGGGGTGCGGGGACCCTAGTCTCGTCCGAGGGGCTGCGCAGTGGTCTCCGTGGGGTCCCCATTTCTGCTTGTGGGGAGTCCTCCTCTCCCAGCCTTGAAGGACTCTGGCTGGAGGCCCTGGCTCATCTGGAGAGGGAGCGGGGTCAGAGGGTGTGGCAGGGCTGGCCGGGGAGCCCAGCCGGAACCCCGAGGGTCCCAGGGCTGCCTCCAGGCCTCTGTCCTCCTGCCTCCTCTCTCCTTCACACCGACTGGTGCCCGATTCCTCAGGTCTCTGCTTTCATCATCATCTCCAGCAAGAGGCCGCCCCTGAGGCACCCCCCATGTAAAGGGGCCCCTCACCCTCCACAGCTGCTCACACCCCTGGTTTCTTTCTGCTGTAACTCTCCACGCTCCTTGCAATCATCGCTCTTTACCTGTTCATTCACCATCTCCCCCAACTAGAATTATAAGGGGAGGCGAGGGAGGGGAGGGCCTCATCTACCCTTTTTCCTACTGTTGCACAGAAAGTGCTCAATAAATTTCTTGGTTGAATGAATGAATGAATGAATTGACTGATCAATCAACCAATCAATGTTAGTGGGCCTGAGTTCCCCGAGGGTGAGATAGAGATCAATGAACAAAGACAAAGCCCTCCTTTCTCTAAGCGCTGCTGGGACTGGGGACCTGGGAATTCCAGATTTTTTTAGGGAGTGAGACTGAAATCCTATGGATCTGGGATTCCAGGGCAGGCGGAGGGCTTCAGACAAATTGCAAGCAGGGAAAAAAGAGGCCACCCTTGCCCCTCTCTCTGTCCTGTCTCCTCTTCCCAAAATGCTCCCGGGCTGGGGAGGGGGTTCCCCTGGTCTCCGTGTGATCCCAGCAGGAAGCCCCTCTGTGTGAGAAGGCGACCCCCCGCTCCCCCCCCCATCTCCCCTCGGAGCTTTTTCCTACTGTTGCACAGAAAGTGCTCAATAAATTTCTTGGTTGAATGAATGAATGAATTGATTGATTAATCAACCAATCAATGTTAGTGGGCCTGAGTTCCCTGAGGGTGAGATAGAGATCAATGAACAAAGATGAGGCCCTCCTTTCTCTAAGCGCTGCTGGGACTAGGGACCTGGGAATTCCAGATTTTTTTAGGGAATGAGACTGAAATCCTATGGATCTGGGATCTCAGGGCAGGCGGAGGGCTTCAGACAAATTGCAAGCAGGGAAAAGTCAGAGGCCACCCTTGCCCCTCTCTCTGTCCTGTCTCCTCTTCCCAAAATGCTCCCGGGCTGGGGAGGGGGTTCCCCTGGTCTCCGTGTGATCCCAGCAGGAAGCCCCTCTGTGTGAGAAGGCGACCCCCCGCTCCCCCCCCCATCTCCCCTCGGAGACGTGGGGGCCTGGGTGCCGAGGAGAGCAACTCCGTGGTCCTTAGGGAGGCCAGGGCTGGAAGGTTGAATTCCTACAAGGGCGGGGGGCCTGGGACCCCGGGGCCTGAGAGGGGAGCCCCCCCCCCTCCCGAGTGATACAGGGCTGGGGCGGCGGAGGGCGAGCGCTGGGGAGGGAGCAGGACCCCCCTGGCTACCTTTGGTGATGTAGAGGTAGAAGAAATCGCAGTAGAGGACCGTCTGGACCAGGCCGGCCACGATGGCGATGAGATCAAAGAAGCCCTCGAAGTAATAGCGCCAGATCCAGTTGAAGAGGTAGAGC